GTGGACCGTTCGAAGAGGGAGGGGGTGGGGCTCGCCATTCTCGAGCGAAGTGAAAGCTATGGTGTCGTTGAATGTTTAATGTCGCAGAAACCGACATTCAGTGAACGCTCGCGCGATTCCAAGCCGCGGAGTAAAAACGTCGCGCGATCGCCGACGACTACTGCATGTAGGTATAATATAATATGTTTTAAGAAAATCTCGCGGACGTCATCGAGCGGAGGCGAGAAACAAGATTGCTGTACACACGGTAATATCGACGACGACGACGACGTCCGTAAATCACCTTCATCGTTCGCGTGCGAAACGGAAATCCAGCGAGACTGCGACGACAGCAATAACATTATCGCCGTTGTCCGTCGCGTAAAAACCGGAAGCCGGACGCGATCGCCGATGTCGTCGCGGACCGCGGACCCCTGCGCCGGTGTACGCCGCCGAGGAGGCGAACCATGGCTCCGTCGACGTGGAGGTACGAGATCGCCTTGTTCTTGGCCGTCAACACGTCGTTCCTGGTGCTGTTCGACGCGTTTTCCGCGGACCGAGGCATCACCGCAGCGCGCCAACGCGTGCTGACCGCGCCGCGGCACAACGGCCGGCGATTTCCTGATGGACCGCGACGGTTTCGAGCATGTCGTCGACAGCGGCGCGTGCGACGGCCGGACGCCGCACGCCCGTGCTGCACAGCCACGTCGGCCACTGAACGCCGCCGGCCATCCGCCAGTCCTATCCGCGTCGCTCGGACCGGCTCGGGTTCCACATGTTCATGAGTCGCTGCCGTCGTCGGGCGACGACGCCGGCGACCGGAAGGTGCAGCGGGCGGCTGCTCCGGAATCGTCCTGCACGGGGACGTCGGGCGCGGCAACTTCCGTGAAGCGTACCGGAACTTGACGTACAAGCACGCGATGGGCCTGACGTGGCGCGGAACGGTGCCCGCGGTCCGAGTACGGGCAAGATGGACGACGACATAGCGGTGAACGCGTTCAGCTGGGCGCCGTGCTGGCCCGGCCGACCACCGCGACCTGGCGGTGCGTGATCCGGCGAAGCCCAGGGACGAAGCGGAACAAGTGGCATGAGCCGCGCCGGTTCGCGGCGACGTACCCGCCGTTCCGTCCCGGTTGGTGCTGCGGCCCGGGCGGCGTCCGTCGGGCGTCTGCGCGGCCATCGAGGGTGCGCGAGAGGTACTTCTGGATCGACACTGTACGTGACAGGATACTCGCCGAGCGCGCGGACTCGAGCCCGACCTGAGACCGGACTTCGAAACCGACCCGGGACCGGTGCACTGTTGCGTGCGCGAGCGACAGCGGTGCGACTTCCTGGCCGCGCCCACCGGCGACGATCAGACGCTGCTCGGCCGGTACGCCGAACAGCTGACGCGGTGCAAGGCGACCAACTCATCGTGCGACCGGTTTCGCAAGTCCAAAAGCTGTCACGGCCGTCCGGTCTTGTTGAGGATGGATAATAAAAATCCGCTAGACGCGGCGGCGGCGGCGTCGTCGTCGTCGTCGCGCACGGGAAGACCGTCCGTACAGCTATTGGATTGGAATAATTGAAATCCGACGGTAGATTGGATATAAGTCGCGGACCGATTGATACGATGACATTAAAAGATATTGTATTCACCACGAGCTGCTACTAACCGCGATAATACTCCCTTTTTTTTTTTTTTTTTTTAAAAAAAAAAAAAAAAAAAAATAAATTTTTATTTTTTTTTTTTTTTTTTTTTTTAAAAAAAAAAAAAAACAAATTAATTAAGTTTTATTTTTGTTGTTCAGTTTTATTTCAATACAAATCATTTGACTTTAAACCGATAATAATAATTTATTCGTTATTTTAATACGTGAAGTTTGTTTTTATTTATAGTACCCAGTGATATCAGTCGTTATGTATAAATTTTGAGGGCGAAATACCCTGAAATACCTAATTTAGGTTGGTGGTGCATACGAGACGATAGCGGTTATAGATATTTGGATATAAGTACATGAAAATTGTACGATATTTTAGTAGTATAACAAATTCATTGTTCACTGGTATTTCCTATCTTTGATTTTAATTTTATGCAATACAATTTTAAAATTCACATTGGCGTGTCACTGATAGTACCTACTATATATTATGTTTAAATTATTTATAAATAAATATACAATTAGTATGAGAAATAAACAATTTATTCATTTACGACACTTAGGTTATGTTAGTTTTAATAAACTAATATCTCACACTAAAATCATTAATAAATATAGTATTTTATTGTGTATAAAAAAGAATTTTTTTTAGGAATAAATCAATTCACAAATATTACAAAACAATAATCAAACAATTTGAGAATGAATAAAATGCAGGGCAGTTATAAAAGAATGACAATTGTAATATTATTATGTATTTCATACACTGAAAGTCATTTTCTTATAAACCATAAATAAGTATTTTATTGATGAAATGTGATCAAAGGTCATCAATATATCAAAGAAATACAAAAGCGATGTATAAATTGTGATAAAATTTTAGTTGGTCTTTCTGGCTCAGCAATTACCATAACCCAGAACTATATCCACCTGGTGGCACACGGCTTGCCTTCTTTTGTTCTGGAGCTGGTTCTGATTGAGCAGAAACATGCTGAGCTGGTGTAGCTGTTGGCTTAGGAGCTTCATAACCTTCCCCAGTTACTGGATTACCATCTAAAATATAAATGCACATAAAATTAACAAGGTGTACAAGACCTAATTTCTTTAAATTTATTGAGTTTCAAAAATATAAAAATTATATATACAACATTATTAATAGATATTTAATAATTAATTACATAATACAGACAAATAATTATACAAAGAATAATATATTATTATACTTAAAAATGGAACACATATTTTTACAAATTTTAATTCAATTTTATGTTACAAAACAATTCTTGGTTGTATATTATAATATGGTACATAATTAGTAATCACCTTATTTTTGTACAACAGTTAAATTTTTTTTGGTTATAAGTTGATAACATACCTTTCTTCTTATAAGACCATTTTTGACAATTAGTTTTATTGGTAGAAGCAGATTCAAAATTAAAAGCTTCAAGCAAATATCCAGTAGACAAACATAAAAGTAGCAAGCAGAATTTAATTATTAAATAAGCAATAAGAGTATGCACTATACTATACTTAAAAGTAATTAATTTTCATTTTATTTTTAATAAGATACAGGATATTTAAAAGTGAGTTATTAATAAAACATACATTTATGTTTAAAATATTATATTAAATTAATTACTAAAAGCCAATAAAAAATTAAGTATTTTAATGAAGTATTATATAGCATACATCAAATACTTAAGATGAAATAATTTTAATGATAAAAGATACCATTAACAAAATACCAGTTTAAAACTAATAAATTAGTAATATAATAAAAGTAATTAAATAGTAGCCTTAAGATAACAAACTTTAATCTAAGTATTTTTTATATAATTCTTATATAAAGTTCATAATTAAATTAATTTTGAAGATTAAAATTAATAGGGAATTAAAAAATTATCATACAGCTTATAAGAAATTAAAAAATAAATATTTCTTATTGGGTTATACTTATAATATAACAGATTGATTCTAATAAAAATTTTATAGCAATTTTTATCAATTATTATAAAGAAGCTGTACATAATATATATTTTTACCCTTTAACAACTTACATTTAGGAAAAAAAATGAATGATTATTGGATAGAAATTAAAATTACCATGTTTGAAATCCATTTATAAATATTTTTTTTAAATAAAATAAAATGTAAAGAGTTAAATAAAAATTATGCAACAATAAATAAAGGATTTAATTTTAAGTATAAAAATTAGGAAAAAATATTTATAGACAATCATGTGCTAATCTTATCTTACCTTTATTACTTGAAGTTTCAAATATTTTCTCAATATTTTCTTTTACAATTTGAGACTCAACATTAATATCATTAGCTATAAGTATGACTTATTGAATTAAAATATTTATAAACTATTTATATGTAGAAAAAACAGATAATATTAATATTACCAGGTTTATCAGAATTTCCATTGGCAGCAACTGTACCATTACTATGTTTTGGCGATTGACCACCCAAAATAATGGAACTTTGAAGATTCTTCTGATTTGTACCACGTTTATGTGGATTAACTTCATCGCATGATGCTGTTCCAAATATATCACTACTTCCACCACCTGGTGGTTTCAAGACCCTTAAAAAGTTTTATTTATTAATTATGCATATCAATTATACTTGAAGTAATGCATTTTAAAATACATTCAAAAAGAATATTTAAGACATTTATAATATTTCATGTTATATTAAAATTGTTAATTGTGACATGTTATCTCTGTCATTGGATAAAAATAAATACTATTATTTTTAATTTATGCCAAAATTATAATAAATAATTTATTGTTTAACAATAAATTATTATTCAACATAGGTACTTCAGTTATTATAACAATTTATATTTTTAAGAAATGAGCTAATAAATATCATTATTATTAATAATAACTTAACATAAACATAGGTCAACACTGAAAAACATTTGAAGGTTTATAAGACATTGTACCTTAAGACAATAATATCTATTCTATAGATCAAACATGTATATTTTTATGTGGGAAGTGTATTAGTATAATAATAGTAAGTAATTAAATTATTATTTACAGTTTAATTATTTTGAAATATTAATTATCTGTAATAACTAAAAAGTTTTGATTTTAATTAAAAACAAGTTAAAATCAATAAAATTATTTATAAAAATTCAATAAATATCAACCTAAATACACTATTTTAAAATAATCAAAAATAACAAATAACAAATAACAATTAAAAAAGTTTAGGTGTCTTAGTACATTACATCAATGCAGGATTTAGAAAAGGTGCCGCCCCACTCCGAGAAAAAAAATGTAGTATTTATTTCTCAAACTCATAAATTTACTTCTATGTTTTTTAAATATGTATATTATTATATAATATTAATTTACGCAGTTATATAAATACATAAAATATTTATATGATTTTTTTCCAATGTTTACAAAATTTGCCACCCTAGACGTAAATCCGGACCTGCATACCATGTACTCGTATATTTTATATATAATATTATATAATAAATACTAAATAGAATAATTACTAAAAAGCTATAATAAAGAAATTAGTAAATATTTGTTAATGTTTATTAAGCATACAATAACACTGATATTTGCAGTTTATAAAATTGAAACCTCAAAATCACCGCGTTATACATAAATTAGAATATAATTAGTTTCAAGTACTAGTTAAATAAAGTTAATATTTATTGATATTTAATATATTTTAACATCACCAAGAATTAAGTATTTAAAACAAGAGAATTATTTTTAATATTGTTAAATTGAGTTTTATAATTTAAAATATTGTGTACACTTTCAGTGTTTTACTTGCCTATTATGACACGGAGATCCTATGAACTCGGCGCCCCAAAGATCATGACAAACTCCTCCAGGAGGCGTTTTATTTTCTCTAATATATAATTTAGAAATGTTATTTTTATTAAAATGAAAAAACAAAACTTAAGGAAATCGGTAGCCATAATCGAAAATGGGTCGATTTTAATATATCACAACTAATATAAGTGTGGGTAGATAAAGAAAACTAGATGATATTTGAATGACCTCGCCTTATTTGGAATATCTAAAAGTAATCAGCCTACACAAATTTCTTTATTGGTGAAATAAAAATGAAAAACATAATTAAAATTAGAATCTTTTTAGTGCTATAAATATCCTAATTAAAATTTAATATTTAAATATTTTAAGAATTAAAAAATGTATAATACTATAATAATATATAATTAACAGTAAAGTGATATAGGTTACCTTAAACTCATTTTCGACGAATACCACAAATAAACAAAAACGATTTACAAAAGTGATATGTTTTGACTAGCACTTAATATAAAATGAAGAACTTGAACCGAGTACCGAGTTTTATATTCAAGTATTATATAAAAAATCTACCTTGAATTGTACGTGTAGGTGTAAAATAAACAGTACAGCCACAATGAAAATACAAAATGTGATCTTTTATTTTATTTTGCACGTTTTTATAAAATAAAGTCTAGCGTTGATAAAAAAAAAAAGTAAAAAAAAAAAACAAAACTAAATAATAACAAACCGTCAGCAAATCGTTAATTACTATAAAAATACAGTCTAAATGAATAAAATAAATGTATAATAAGGATCCTATTTAGTGAGAATAATGTTAATTCTTTAGGACTTAATTGTTAATAAAAGTTAAATTATTAAAATATAATATAATATGCAAGTATAGAAACAAAGAAATTAATGAAGGTAATGTAGGAACGATATTAGCTGACATTTAATACGTATATAATATGTCCTATATCATACACAGAAATTAGAAATATTTCTTCCTGAGTTTAAAACGTACTGAATATCTATTATAACCATTAACAATACATTTTATAATTGGCCATAACTAATATGTTTCATTATTTATATTTGTTGAAAACTTAAATTCTTATTTGTTTTGATATATTCTTTCTTATAACAAAATTAAAATTATATTAAAAATCGTTTATATATAGGTATGTATTATAATAAAGAATAATCATACACAAATTCGATTGACTTTAAATAGATTTTGCCACGAGGGAATCGACCCATAATAATTCCAACTGTCGTGTTCCAAACAACCGTTATTTTAAATAGAAGTGTTATGAGCAATTGATTTTAAGCACGTTTCGATTATTTCATAATCCGAATTAATAATTTTAATAAATATCGTATGTATACCACAACGGATAGTACATCCGATTATAAATATAGCTAGAGGGATTCTCTATTCATTGGCATCAAAAAGTTTGAAGACAACTATGGAATAATAAACGCCACTATAATAGATTGGCTATGTTTGGTTTACGTTCAATGACATTGTCAATGCTGAAAATGCAATTTAAGTTATAACAGTATCAAAATTTACTGCATGTCCAATATTTTCTTTGTCATTCTCGTTTCCTTTACAGCCGACACACACATTAAAAACTTAATAAGTTATTATATGCTATTTATGTCAAACGGTTTTTAGACCCCATAAAATCTTGCAAAGAATAAAATTGGGTTTTGACGCAGACACAGTCGTTTCACCCTCATAAGGGTTAGGGTTCTCCCCAACTTATATAATATGTTATACACGAAGTAATCACATTTCAAATGATGTGACTCATGTTATACAAAAACTTACGAATAATGAGTAACTATTTTTCAATAAAGATTTCTAATACAATTATTGGAAACATATTTAATAGTTATACATAATTCCAATCAAAAATTATTCATTTATTTAAAAAAAAATGTAATGCCTTATGAACTTTAATTAGAAATGTTTTCATCACCCACACGACAAAAATTAAAAATCTAAATAATCAATGTAGTATATTTTTTACTTTATGATACTTTATATTATTATTATAGACTATATAAATAGAAAACTAATTATACAATCATACACATACAGTGCTATATTTTAATTTAAGTTCTTAAAATAAATACTAAAAACAAATAATATTATGAATTAAATACACAACTAATTCTATTATATATTTTTGTATATTGTATTAATATAAATGAAAGCAGACATAATATAAATTTCTCAAACAACTCAGTTAATTTATATCTTTAATACTTGATGCGTGTTTAAAGCCGACATTAACATAGTAAAAACAATGAGTTCGCCATTGCAGGGCAATTTATTATGTATTTACTATACTACGGACAAGGGTCAACGTTCGGTTAGAATATTACACTAAAGCAGTGGTTCAAGACGAAATAGAACTTAACTTGAGAACATTTGTACAATAAAACTATTTTAGATTCCAAAGCGATTACGTAGTAACGGGTACTGAATGAAAAAAAAACACGATAAGAGGGTAACCGCGTGGTCTATGGATTCATATACATCGTACATTATTTGTCTCTAAGAAGTAAATTAATAATGAAAAAAAAACTATTAGGCTTTATGAACTCATTTTTCTATTTGCATATGAAACTTCATAGCATGATATGGTTTACTAATTATTAACCTGATGGGTCTCGTAAAAATTCGAATAAGCACGAACACTTCTTTCTGCGATACACTAAATGTAAACGTAATACTGACATACAAAATATTAATAAACCTACTAGATAATCTTACCTCAAAAACGTTTTTAATTTTTTATTAATATATTAATATAAACCTAATAATAATGTAAATATTAAAAAAACATGGTATGTAATTTAAAATGGGAAAATGCAGATGTTTACTTTATTAATTTCCTAATGTATTATTGGGGTCACAAGCAAATAGGGAAAGTTTAATTAACTAAAAAAAATTATGTTCAATTACATTTAGTTCATGAGTATAATATTATTTGATCCTAGGATTAATATTATCGTTCGAAAGCGTTCAATATTGATTAAATATCAGAATTTTATTTTGCAGTGAAGGTAATAATGACTAAAATACGTAAGAACATAAATATGTACTTTCCCCCTATCACGATTTATTTTGGTATATCCTATAACACTATAGGGTGATCATGATAATAATAAAACAGAATACGAATGTTGATTCCAGAATAAGCTATTATAGCATGAGTAACGGATGACAACCTACAATAGATCAAACATTTCCTCTATGAAAGTGTAACACAACATTGTTCAAAAATAATTTCAAAAACTCAATGAACCGTTTTTATTTATCCGAAAATATTCCCGTAGGAAGTCACGTGCCACTATGTAGTGTGATGATTACAGTGAACATCTATGATGTTCGGTGGACCGTGCACATAGGAAATTCAAATGAGTTACAATACCGTAACTAGCACACCTTCTACCCCTGAGATCATTATTTCGGATAAAACATGAACATATTATAAATAATAATAACCCATTTAATTTATAGTTGAATGTTATAAATACCAGGTACCGAAACAATACGAAAATATTTTAGAACAGCAAATAAAAATGTGATACACTTTGACATTTTATATCTGTACCAGACACCAACTCACTAGGTACCTGTATAGTCATCGTTTACTAAATTGATGTATATTTTTCGTGCGTTATTATTCGCATGCACAATACCAGCCACCAGGTATATATTTCCTCACCTAATAACGCAAATTACGTTTTTATGACGCACATTGTAATACTTTTATAG